TCGATCTAGACGATCAACCTTCTGCCTCGAATAGTTAGTCATAGTATCGTCGACCCCTGCAGGCCACTATTTGCAGCAGAAAGAACGTGCAATCTCAGCGTGTAGTAGTTGTCTCCAAGTGCAATAGATCCCATAAGTTATCACTATAAACAATATGTATATGAGCGGATGTAGATGCAGGAACCCAAGCCCAGACGCGTCTAGAAGTTCTCTGCGCGCAAGATCAGCAACTAGATCACAAACGCCAACCGCAAAATACCGACCTTTGCCGAAAAAGTACCGCGTGCCATCCGGGTTGCTGTATGCGTTGCACTTTTCGCCAAGCGCATTGGCAATAGCCGCCGGACCACAGAAAAAGACTCCAACGTCGGATTCGGGGTGTTTCTGGCTGATGGACGCGAAGATCTTGTCCCAATTCGGTCGTCCAAAGTGGGTTGGAGCCCGCAAAGAAGTTATCGCATCCTTCTCAGCACCAACGTCGTGCACCTGGGTCCGTACATGAGCGCGTTATATAACACACGAAAAGACAGAACGCACGATAATGTTGTTCATATCGTCCTCCTTGATCTTCTGGGTCAGGTAGATGTTGATCTCGATCCGATTCTGCGTGTCCTGCGTCTCGATCGCTTGCAGAAGCGAGTGGAACCATTCGGCGGTGCCAAAGTCGCGGATCACCCAAGTGAAATACACCTTCGACAGTCGAGTGGGCTTTGCCCCGCCAAAGTTGTTCATGCGATACCAGATAGCTTTAAGGATGCTGCAATGGTATGAGCATTGAGATATGCACAAGATCCGGACACATACGAGGCAAACGGTGTGACACCAATACCAGCGCCAACCAGTAGAACCGTCTCGTAGTTCAAGAACTCCTCGGAACATGTTCCAAACGGACCGTCGACCATGACCCGCGGCATCGCCCGGCTGACTGGAGGTTGCACGACTTTGCTTTCAGACGCGGAGCCTTCACCCCGCTTCGGAAAATCGCATCCGACGGCTTTGGCCATGGCTGTCGTCCAGTCTCCCTCTACGCGAATGTGGACAGAGATATAGTCTTCTTGAGGAGCGCTGTTGACGACTCGTCAGCGACAAAGGGCTGTGCAGGACACACGGACACACCTGGTCAAAGTGAATGGGTGCCACTGCCAATACGAGACCTCGGGGCAATTGACAAAGATGTACTGCCCTGCCAACGTCGTCGTCTTCTCCTTCTTGATCTGCAGCTCCATCACATTCGAGGGATGCTGGATCACCTTGGACAGGTACGTCGTGTGCCGCGAGCGGACTTCACGCAAGATACGCTCATAGATCCAGATCAGACCGCCGACGATCCAGTATCGCTGTAGCAAGTCAGTATGGCGCCAGTGAAACTATAAGAAGCACAAACCCAGAACACGCCGATGGTCTGGTACGAGCAGTATGGGGGACGATCAGGCTTGATCATGCAAAACATGCCATGGAGCTGCCACAAGAGGAAGAATGGGATGAAAAGATGGTGCGTGTACCAGAACTTCTCAAATCCACCGTTGGGCAGACGGCGCCGCTTTTCCATCGCATACCACACCATGACACCAAGGCAGACCCACATCACCCAGCCCGTCCAGAGCGGCCCGATGATGATGTTGGCGTACAGGAAGAAAGCGACCCGCGCGCCGATGGTCTTGAGCGAGGTGTCGGCTTTCGTGAGCCGGTATAAGTTGACGACGTGGGCGAGTGTGTGCACAAGCGACCAGATGACGATGGACCAACCGGTTGCCTTGTGCAACGTCAGGTTCTCATCAAACGGAATGACAGTTCCCAGGGGCGTGCGGCGGAGCACAGAAACGAAGCTGCGGCACACGGGGAACAAGATGAAGATGACATCGATATGCAGAAGAACGGCTGCCGACCGGGCGATGACTACAGCGGCATCTTCAGGAAACGGAAGATGACCCGGAGAGAGAAGGAGAGAGACGAACCGAATGTGGGCCCAAACTCGGCGCGGGCCCCAAACAAGTTGTCCTTGAGGCTGTAGTGAAGGGCCCCCAAGATGAGTGCGACGAGATGTAGGATGATGAAGACGGCAAAGAAGATCTTGCGCTGGCCCTCGTTGATGAGCCACACACTCCATGTCGAGACTGCGTTCGGTTGCACCGCTGGGAGAGTGGAAGATGCATCGATCTGCTGAAGACCTTGCAGTCGCCAGCGTTCAGTCTTGTTGCGTTGAAGATGACTGCGTTCGGGGGAAGAGCGATCCATGCTTAATCTGTGCGTCTTGAGAGTGCGTTCGAAGGAGCGATGACGAGCTTGGCTCTGTGGAAGGAAAGAAGGGAAGGACCAGCCTGCAGCAGTGAGAGGATGGCGGGAGGAGATGAAGAAAGAAATGGACAGAGGGCGGTGCACAAGGCCGTTGAGACTCTCCCAGAGCGGTCGAATAGACTAGACATTCCTAGGCCGGTCCAGCCAGCGGTCGCTTGAGAGGCGTGATGGGCTCCAGAGTTGTTAACATCGCTGAGATGAGCCCAGGTTGATGCGTCGATGGTCTCCATCGGAACGGTATACATTTGAGTTGTGCAGATGTGTCAGTGTTGAAGGCTGCCTCGTGAGCCATCGTGCCTCTGACCGTCATGACGCGGTAGAAAGAGAAAGCGTGGGAACAGACAACATCAATGATGATGGCAAATCCGGACCACGAGATTTAGACACATTCCGCAACTAATACAACTTGTCCTTGGGACCAAGGTCTGTCTCCACTGGATCTATGGCTAGACCTTCGCTTGCGACACACCTGATTCCCAACCTGACGACCCTCGCTGAGGACTCTCTCCCCTCGGCCCTATTCGACATCTGATCAACACCCGGTCTACGCGTATCGACATGGAAGCTTTCATCGCTGGCGGTGCCAACTATGCAAGGAGTGTTAGATGCAGCTAGAGAGGAGAACCATTCTGACTCGTTCTGACTTTTCCGGTTGTACTTCTTGAGGAACATCGTGTGTGAACAGCAGAGCTCTGCCTCTGCCGTCCAGCGATGAGCAGTAGTTCCCTCCTGCCGCGTCGTGCACTCCACAACTTCATTCGATTCTTCGCCATCCTAACGACGAACAATGTCCTGGCTTTGACCGTGCTTCAAAGGCTCATACTGAGACAACACGACGAAGCATCTGAAGCCCAGTGCACTGTCTGCTAGAGCGTCGTCTCGGTCCTATGTGTTCCGCTGCGCACCCGGCTCCTCATCACTCCTGGAATACATGTTTCCGTCGCGTTTTGGTTTCATCTTGGCACATCACAGCGCTTGCCAGATCGCCGCAAGAGGCTGATTGGCAATTCGGTGATGCCCAGCCCTTTCCTCTCGGTTTCTCTTCATATCCACTCCGGCCGTTCTTCAATATGTCCTCTAAGGGTTTGACCTGAGGTCAAAGCTCGCGAGGAGTGTCATTCTTGTTCGATCCGATTGTCCCGTGTGCCAACCGCGACTGTCGGCGACGTGAGCTGCTGAATCCAATCTATGCCAACGGCATCGATGAAGACTCACGCTTATAGAATCAGCGGAGCCCCTTCACAAACTGATGTTATCTAGCTCATATCACAAACGAAGACATAGACCAACTCATAGGGTGATATCCCGAACGGTCGGCCGACGATGCTCATCGATATACTTATCGCCTAAACTGTTTTTCGTCAAGCATGCCGTTTCGCTGACGCTCAACTTGAACTGATCATGTCTGTCTAACTGACCATTTATTATTGCCACGTGTTGTTTGCGTTCATTCCTCTGTCCTTTCATTCGCACATTCCCGCTGTCAAAGATCTATCTGTGCGTCTTTCCCATTTCTAGGTTTCTGTTCTCATGCTGATTGCGGTTTGCCTGTTTGCCTGCGGCTTGCATGGGAGCTTACACGCAAGATACGCGAGGCATCCAATACCGGCCGGGGCTCCGGCAGGGTACTTGTGAGCTATCGCCTATAAATCTCACACATGAGGAGTTGTTCATGCAGCTCGTTTTCTGTCTCATTCGCCTTGCGCAATGTTCCTTCTTCCAGTCCATCTCGACCACCGCGATCTCACCGGTCACTGCGATCCTGACCTGCAGAATTGTCGCTCTCTCTTGAACATCGTCCGGGGTTGCCTGACGACCATCGCCGCCTGCGTGTGGGTCTCGGTGCATCCCAACCTTCCGGCGCCTAATCAGGGACGGATTCGGGGCATGTTCACGAGGGTCAAAGTCATGCTCATTGCCATCGCAATGCCAGAGGCTGTGATCGTGTTTCCGGTACGGCAGTTCTTCGCGGCGCGCGCCTTTTCCAAGAGTGTGTTTGCCTCACTGTTTTTCTGATGAGCCAAGTTCTCATCTCCCCGCAGCATACCACGTTTCGATGACACACGGCTTCTTCTTCACCATGGGTGGTTTCATCGATGCTGAGCGCCGCTCCCTTCTTACATCCGAAGATTTGGAAAGACCAGGTGTCTTGAAAAGCATTCGTGAGGTTCGAGAGGAGGACATACGGGACAAGAGCAAAGCGGATGCTCTAGCCAAGGCTTTCGCAATCCTGCAGGCCTCCTGGTTCATCATGCAATGTGTCGCTCGCGTCTTGCAGCGCTTACCTCTGACGCAAATCGAGATTGCAACGCTTGCCTTTGCGCTGCTCAATATCGTGATGTGGCTTTTTTGGTGGCATAAACCTCTCGGGGTCAACGAAGGTATCATCGTCGAGGAACGAACAGATATCACCGGTCTTCGAAAGTACGAGCCGATCCGACCTTCCTACGCGACGTCTTCTCTCGACTGGTTCAACAGATTCATTGACGAAATGGTGGGTGCACTCGGTGGGGACTACGAAGAGCATCAACGGGCACGCTCGGTGCCCGCTTTCTGGTCCGGCGAGGGTGCTATTGAGGTACCACTTTTGGGAGAAACCGACCTTCCTACCGTCGCAGTGGTCACTGAAGCCATATCTGCGCTTATCTTTGGGGCAAGCCATTGCACAGCGTGGAATACACACTTTCCGACCGCTGTCGAAATGTGGCTTTGGAGAGTATGCTCGATCATCGTCGGACTGGGGCCAGGTACCATGGCCGTCTCCCTGTTTGTTGATCTGCTTTCCGACGGAAAGCGTTATGAAAGGTTAACGACTGTTCTATTCTACACTCCTGTCATGCTATATCCCATCGCACGCCCAGTTCTGATCATCCTCATGCTGACGACGCTCAGAAGCCTGCCGTCCGAGGTGCTCTTTGATGTAGATTGGACGGGATTTATTCCACACATAGCGTAGTCTTATTTCAAGAACAGAATTTCGACTGGACGTTTGCGTTATCCACGAACAGTGGCGATTTGCAGTTTCCTACGCCTGAAAGTGTCCTCGAGTTCCTCGGCGGTTGTGTGTGCATTTTGAGCGGCGGTTGTGATCGCGCTCCTCAGAAATGTGCGGTTGCTGAGCAAGTAGTCATTAGCGTAGCTGCAAGCGCGATGCAATAAGGGTGACCACACTCCATCCTACTTGCGTAGATATCCTTTTGAAGCTTTTCATCCTTGATTTTAGGTTCCAATCTAGTCATTAGTACGACCATTCATGTTCTTGTCGCTTGCAGGACGACTGGGGAAGAGAGGGAGACAGCAGTGTCCCAGAGCATTGATCAGCTCGTGCCTGTGCGTGTTGTAGCGTCGGGAACAAAGCAATCCTGGATGTAAACGAAGGAGGAGTACTCCGCGGCACGATGCGTATTTCACGGAGCAAGCAGAGCAGGTGGGCGCACACAAGGGCTTATGACATGCCGCTTGATGGGTAGATGGCTGCCCAAGTATGGAAGAAAGGCACTCCTCGTAAGGCCAGATCGCCGGACAATGGGTGAACCATCAAGCCATCGTTAGGACACGCCCTCGAGGATTGAGTATTAACAATGGGTGGCAAAAGGCGTATCACATGTATGCATTGTTACCCCGCATTTCTTGATCTCGCTCCATCTATATAAAGCCTTAGCAATCCTGCGAACACAGATTTGCATGAGAGACCGACCAAGATTGCTCGAGAGCAGTTTTGCCGTACTAGACATAGCTCGTTACGGTCGTGCCACCCTGTCGAGTGAGTCTGCTCCAGCACCAAAGAATCGGAAAACAACTGATTATCGTATCTCTCAGCACAACAGCACGAGGAATCAGCGAACCCACACACCGATCATAGCTGACATGCCATCCATTGCCACCCGACTCTCTCTAGCCCCAGTGCTCAATAGCTTCGAGCGCCTTTACTGGATGTACTCCAGAAACGAAACCGCACTTTTGTTTCCATCGGACACTCTACCGAACTTCGGGTTGCCCCCTCCCATGGACCGACATCTTGTCAATGCGCACCAGAATCGAATTTCGGGAGACGTTCATCCGCAGCTGCAACATGTCGAAGACTGGGAACCCTACGCGTCGACTGAAAGGCCCACGGCGGTCCTGGAAAACGATCAGTGGCAGCAGGGACACGAAGAGAATCCCCACCCTATGAGACCTGCGCTCGGGCAGACAATGAGCCCTCAGCGCGAGACCCGCAGATTCTGCACCATCGCATCTGATGACGACGAGATCGTCTCCTCCCCATATCAGCATGATAATGCTGCATACAACCCCACTATCGGATGTGAAACAACGGATGCCCGTCACCGCAGGGCCTACGCCCAGCCATTGCCGACCCTCTCGCACTTTGGCGACAGCACAGAGAAACGCCTCCCGACGTACATCCACATTGTCGGTCGTGATGTTGCAGACCCGCGAACAGTGGTCGTCGCACAGGAGATCCAGATTGCTGAGCCACAGCCGGTGCTCGCGTGCAGGAACGATGTCGTTGCAGCTCTCGAAGAGGCGGCGGCACATCAAGATCGACCATCTGGACGGGTGCCCTCGTATGCGTATTACGAACACGCCCGTGATGGATTGGGGCGCTTCGGAGGCCGTATTGCGGGAATGCAGGGATCATGGGACCCCTTCTGCGACTGGTGATGATACACAGATGCGAATAGCATCATGCAGAGCGAAGAAACGTTGGTTGGAAATGTTGCGTACACGCTACTCGACGCAAAGAGGTTCGAACAGAGCTCCGGAGGGTGCTTGCCAAAGTGTTTGCAGCCAGATGGAGGAAGGCGCGATCAGGGTTTAGCAGCAGAGACTATCCATCCATACTGCATTGTTTTCATAGTGCTTGGGATTTTGACTTGTTCCTGTTTATGCCGATAGGGGATGCCGGAACGTCCTTGCTGCAGATTCGTGGATGGAAGTGTGATTGACGACACTTGTCACGCACCTCCTCTCGTCCCAGAGGTAGCATTCATTTCTGTTGCGTAGTTGTCACACACTGGATAATACTACCGACAAGCAGCACACGCTCACCTGGAGACTATGACTTGGCGCAATCACATCTACCTCTCCCGTTTCTAAGAAATGAGCATTTGCCTCCACAACCTCCCGGGAATGATCGAACCATCATCGTCTACGCCTCGAAGTAGGAGAGGGCAAAAACAAGCAAGTCACGTGCAAACTCTCCGCTCTGTGCATGCGTGATGGGCAAGCGAAGCAAAACACCGTCAGATACACTTCTCTGTTCGCTTCATTCATCAATTGAGTTCGAGGCTCCGTGCGTAATCTTTTGCCACTCGAAAGCATGCAGAGTATGGGTCCACTCACTGCGGTCCTCTTCGCGTGCTCTGGATCGCTCGATGAAAGTTGTTGCAAGACCGACCAAATGCAGGATCCGGTACAAAAACTTGAGTGCCCTTGGCCGACGACCTCTCGAAGACGATCAGTCACCGACTGCACCACGTCATCTCCGATCTTATGGCCCATGCCCCCACACCTCCCGCCTAGACCATAGTTGTCCCTTTCTGTCCCCCGCTCCCATATCCTATCCAAGGGGCACACTCGTAAAATCTCCAGCGTGAAGAACTCACATCGACTCGATCAATTGAATGGCAGTGGTGTAGCTGTCTTGTGTCACTGCTGCTCTGCATCTAACAGCGCATAAGCACATCAGCGGCTATTTGTTCACACCTGTCGTCTTGCGGATTTGTGTGGTACGCGATGCAATCGAGAACCACTCGAGGGGAATGGCACTTGATTTTGGTCCATTGGAGTGCACCCTTGACCGTGAACTGTCTTCGGAATCTGCGGTGCTTTGCTCCTGGTGGTCGTGTCATAGCCACATCTGTTCTCATCGGCATCACTCCTGTTTTGTCTCGAATGTACCTATGCAGATGTTCTTGTGTTGAGATAGGACACCTCTGTGGCACCACACGTGCCCGCTGTGGACAGCATGCTTGCGACTAGCCTCTTTGCGGGGCACGACTTGCAACATCTTCATGTCGATCATGTTTCCCAAACTTACAAACGTCGAGATTACCGTCGGAGACAACCTGATGGATCCGAGCCCTATCGCCATGGTGCAGAGTACGAGTCGTTTGATTTGTGCATCTCTGCAGCCGCTGAACGGTTGTGAGTTCTTGGGCATGCGAGATGTTGATTCATCTCCACGGATAGGTCAGATGTCAGAATAGGAGCTACGAGACGGATCCAAACTGAGCACGGATTGACAGCCACGTGAACCAGATCTGAGATGCAAACCACCAATCGAGCCGCCCGCATAGGATCGCGTTCAATAAAAATCCGGACGATGCGGTGGAGAAGATGAAATTGTATACAACTTTTCTTTTCGCTCCGGAATGGTGTAGGGGTTAACATTGTCGCCTCTCACACTTGATCGCGACAGCCCGGGGTTCGATTCCCCGTTCCGGAATGTTTTGCCTCGAGCACCTCACCCATCTCGTCTTTTGCCAGCCAAGTAGGCAGCTGGTCTATGCCCCCATCTTGAACCTTCTCGCAATCAGCCCACCTACCAGTATCACTTACATCTTCATCTAGAGCCATCTGCCTTTGCACAATGTAGGGTACCTCGTGGATATTATCAATGCGCAGCTAAGTCTCTGAACATGCAGATCCGGAACGATGCCGAATCGATGCACTACGTACGGATGCCCGGGCCGGATTTGGAGCCCAGCCAATCAACTGTTACGTGCGTGTGGGGCCAACCTACTACGCTCATCTCATTTGATAGGGCAAATCTCCCTCTCGCAAGCAACTATGCCCCTCATTGCGCCTCAACAGATTGGAAACAAAAGTTTCGACTACGTCATCATCGGTGTGTACCCACTCCTTAACCCTTCTGATTCCTCACGGCCATGATCCCGCTCTGGCATGATAGGCGGAGGGGTGTGTATCTCCAGCCTGCACTCGGCTTCTCGATCTCATTTTTGCGTAGACATCTGGTCTGACCCTCGCTGCTCGCCTGAGCGAAGACCCCGCACTTTCCGTGCTCGTTATCGAAGCGGGGAGCGCGAACCTGGATGATCCCGCGCTCTGTAGGTCTCGTCATTCATGACATCTGAGGGTCACTAACCGATCGGTGACAAGTGTTGCCGTGGAACATGGGATCTCAGCTGGGAAATCCGGATTACGACTGGGTCTTTTCCACCGTGCGTCTCATCCACCTTGTTGATTAGGCAGACACCACCACATCGTGAGTTAGAAGGGCCAAGAGAGTCTCGGTGGCCGTCCAGTTTCATTTAACCGGTGATTGGTCCAAAATCAAGCTACCTGACCCTACCTCTCACCGATTATGATTTCCAGCGGCAAAGGACTGGGCGGGAGCTCGGCTATCAACTTTTATGCGTTCCATCTCCCGCACAGGAGCGACGTTGATGGTAAAGGGGTTGGCTATCTTGAAGCTTTGAATGGTTTTCTAAACGCGCACAGCCTTCGAGAAACTTGGAAACATCGGTTGGAACTGGGACATGCTCCGACAGTATTATAAGCGGGCCGAGGGATTCATCGAGCCAGCGACCAAAACAAAGGATGTCAGTTTCGATATCGGCTCTCATGGAACTAGTGGACCCGTCCCTGTGACATATCCCACCACAATGCTCGGCATCGAAGCCCTATTCTACGAGACGTTGCACAATCTCGGGCACGATTTTACTCCTGAACCGGTGCGTCCCGTCTTGTTGTCGCTAGTTTCTTATCTTTCGAATTTATGGGACAGTTCTCCGGTGACGTCAGTTCGATATCTTGCGTTGCAATAGCAGGGTTGGCTGATAGGAACCGCTAGACTACAGGGACTTGGTTCACACCCGTGAGCGTGGACCCGCGGACTTGGAAACGGGCCTATGCAGCTAATGTATGCGATTCTGTCCCCTCCTTATTTCTTCCAGGATCGCTGGAACAGTTATTCAGGCTTACTATCAACCGAACGCGGAGCGCACAAACCTTTCCGTTGTCGTCTCATCGCACGCGACGAAAATCGCATCCGATTCGGCACCTGGCTCCGAGTTCGAGGCAGACCGGGTCGAATTCTCAAGTGAAGGGACGCTATATAGCGTCAGAGTTGAGAAGGATGTTGTTATCGCTGCAGGGTGTGTCATCCCGTGGGCTCACTCATCGGGTACTAATGCGGAATGATAGAGCCATCATGTCGCCACAGATTCTCGAGCTCTCTGGCATCGGAAACCCGGATATTATCGCCGCTGCAGGGCTAGACGTACTCGTCAATCTGCCGGGTGTCGGGGAGAATGTCCAAGAGCACTACTATACAGGCATCAGCAGAGGTGAGTGGTGCGAATTTATGAAGTAACATCTTAATCCAAAAGCATGATAGAGGTTCGCGATGACATCGACCACGCTAAATATACTACTTTGGACGTTCTCACCGATCCTGCGACTCTTAAAACCGAGGTCGAGCAGTAGTAGGTCGAAATCGAGGCCGTTTTATTCGCACGCTAATTGTGACGCTCCAGTGAGAGGAACGGCACTGGAATCCTTGGGTATTCAGGCTCTTGCATGGCTTTCACATCTCTCTCGTCCATAGACGACTCTGGCACTCTGAAGCACCCAACATTTGAGACGCAAACGTCCCCGGCTCTGAGAAAACAGTACAAAATTCAGATCGAACAACTCGCCCTTGGAAGACCCACCTGCGAGTTCACGTTACTGCCGCGTCTCTTTTCCTTTCCGAGTAAGCGGCCTTCCGTGCATCACCCATCTTCTAACATGAGTCTAGACCCCGCGAAAGCGGGAAAACAGTATCTCACCTGTGCTGGAATGTTCAACCATCCCTTTTCGCGCGGCACGATTCACATCAAGAACGCCAATGCGCTCGAACGTCCAGAGATTGACCCGCGTTTCTTCGAAGATCTGTTTGGTGTGCTGCAATGTTGTTCACTTTGAATTGGGTGATCGATGGCGAACAGACCTCGATGTCTTTGTCACACAACTCAAATTCTGCCGTCGGGTGCTGGAGTCAGACCCATTGAAAGGCATTCTAGGAGGTACGTCACCTCTGCTGTGTGGGTCTCATCAATCAGTTTCATGTGCCGATAGAGGAGATCAATCCCGGTCCCGGGGTCGTTACAGATGACCAGCTGGCCGGTAAGCACTTGGCAATTGATTCATTCCAGGAATACTGATGTGTTTCCTAGAATGGGCAAAATCCGTCTTCGGATCCACGTTCCGTGCGCAGAACCATGGACATCATTCCAGGACTCTGAGAAAAAGCATGTCTAGATACGATCGGATCTTGCTCGATGTTGCCGCGTGAGGATGGTGGTGTCGTGGACACAAATCTGAAGGTCGCTGCCCTCATCCATCTTTGCTGCAAAATCTCGATTGATGTCTTGAGCCAGGTCTATGGGACTCGAAATGTCCGCGTTGTTGATCTGTCCATCATACCACTGCACATTGGTGCCCATACCCAATGTTCGCAACCCCTTATGCATATACCAAGACTTGATGGAATGTTGATTTCGTGACAGCCACAGCGTATGCGATCGGAGAACTCGGTGAAGCTCTTCGGATATCACAAGGAAAGCGGCTGACTTTGACTAGCTGCCGATATTGTTCTTGGCAAAATCGTATTCTAGCACGCAGAAGAGGCACCCTGAAATAAGCTGGAAATTTATTTTTATTACGGAATCTGGTAAAGATGAGGACTTCGGATACCTTCATCTCCTCTGTGTTAAAATATATAATGGAGAAATTCCACGCGTCCGTGAACACTCACGTGCGATTTGGATTGTAATCGAACAGTCACAAATGACGTGACGTTCATCTTGCAGTGATGCAGGGGTGCTCACGTGTGTCCAGCTTCCCATCGGATCTCTGCTTCTCCGTCTTCTTCGTCAGGCTTCGCACCACCTTCATCTCACACGTGGTCGTCTACATCATGCTCGAGCATGTTCTTTTTGACGTCTTTTCTGGCTGGTGCGGGGCTCCGGTCCGGGGGACCAGCAAGCTCTCTTGAGGACTTCGTCGAATGAAGCGACAACAGATAACGAGGGAGGGGCCAGAGAGGATGGAGAATGTCGTTGAAGAGGCTGTTGTACTCCTGCTCCATCGTGACCCAGTAACGAACGACCTATCCCTCAACTGAGCCACCGCCGGCCCGTCGACATTCCCGAGAGCAA